AGAACCCCTGGTTCAGCACCCTTGGGTCTACCAGGATTCTGAGTGCAATGAAACCAATGTTGTTCTTGATCCAAAACCAGATAAAGTGCATCCCAGAAGGGGACTCAATTAAATAAACTCACTTCTTAACAATGAATCCCCAAATGTTGCACATTGACAGAAATGTATAAACTCAGAAGAAACATTTTACCTTTTCCTTTCCAGTTGCAGCATTTTGCTCTTCCCTTAACAGCATAGGGCAGAGTACTTGGAGCAATGCCCCACAGACCCAGAAACATCAGCAAAAACCACTCCTGCGGCATCTTAGTCCTGCTGTTGTCTGGCTTCCTGTACCCAGGCCATCCACAAACACAAGCTGCCTCAGAGCCTTTTCTATCCATGAGCTGCCTTTCAGTAACATCACAACATGTATGTCTTACAGGCACACTTCCCTTCTCTCCCTTGCCCAGTTCAGCCCTCAAACACAGAGGAGTAGTACGCTGGTTACTCACTTTCCTAAAAGGCTCTAAATTGCACATGGGCCCAGAACCAGCTCCTAAAGAGCAGACTTAAAAAAAAAAAAAAAAAAAAAGCTGATTCTTAAAGATCATTTCAGCCCTAGAACCTGGGAGAAGCAAGTCTACTGGAACAGCCTGTATTCAATAGCACAGAGAAGAAATGTTGGAGATTCTATATATGAGAGGCTTCCTCCACCATGTTGCAAGGGCCCCTTGCAAGGCATTGCACTCTTCAGTTCATCCTGAAGTCTGTTTCAGCAGTTGGTGATCACTATTCCCCCATTTCCAACCCCATACTTCTTGATAAGTAAATGGAACATTTGCAAATTTGCCAAAGTCCTACAACATAGCTATTTATAGGGGTTTTATCTGGATGTTCTCTCATTCACAGGAATTTCCTTTCGCTTTTGTTAAACAGTAGCATTACCTACACAAAATACACCTTCGCAGGCATTGCTTATTGAGAAGAGGAGATAAAGCATCAGGAGAAAAGCAGTGTTTATTGTCATAGGTACATCACAAGATCAAGGGTTAGAAAAGGAAGATGCTTCACCATTTGCATGGACTGGATACACAAAAAGAATTCAAATTATAAAGGTATTGACGAACAACAGAGAAACCAGTGTTTTAACAACTTTCCAGCTGATTTAAACCAGTGTGGCCCCACTGACTTTAACAAATATAAGACTAGTGCTACTGAAGCACAGTTGCTTCCTGGAGAAGGGATTATGGTTCCAAGTGCAAAGACAGGAGGGAGTTGCCAGTGAAAGTCTTGGAAAAACAAGTGGGTTGCTGCCCAGCTCGTATGGACTGGTGCAGCTGCACTGGCTTCAGACAGCGAGCGCTACATGGTTTGGCCTATGAACTTCCCTACCAGCTTAGCCCATTTCACCAACACATACAGGGGTTTGATAGCAGCTACAAAGAGGTGACAAGGGAGAGAGGCTCCAGTAGAGCACCTCACAGAGAGAAAATGCAGCAATAATAGACCACGTTATTTTTCTTGGAAGGGAAAATGTAGCCAAGGCTCTCCACTGGAAAGTGAGCAGCCCTCCAAGGTAGCTCTTCTTCAGGTAAAGCTGTGTAAATTGCGCTGCAGCGAATGCATCTCAGCTCCACTACAGCAATTAATGCCTTTACTGGCTTTCTTCTGTGACTCTGCTCTTGTCTGGGTCTCTGCTTCAACTCCCAGGAGAGCTGGACCTGCTGCTGAATGTGCTGACCTCTAGCCAGCAAACAGCTCTAGTTGTGTCACACAGACTTCTGCTCTGGGGTGGAGGGACCTCCAGCAGCCAAGCACAGAAAGCAAGATACCTGAGGACCGAGCCAGGTCTGCACAACTTGAGCTCCAAGGTGGGGACTTGCTTTCTACTTTTCCCCTTCTGCCCCCCCCCCGATGCAGCACCAGTAGGAGAGGGGACAAGAGGAGGGCTGCAGCTTTGCCAAGTCTGTTACTCTTCCAGCCTCCTGTGTACAGCTTCCCCTCGGCCAGAGGCAGCACAGCTACCAGGCTGCTCCCGGGCGGGCCGGGGTCCGCAAGCGGAGGGGAACAGGTAGGGCAGAGAAGCAGAGCACGCTTGCAGCAGGGGTAGCTCCGCGCAGGGAAGGAGGGAGCTCCGGGTGCCCGGGAGCCGTGGCCGGGCCCCGGGGGTGGGGGCTGCTCCCGAGCCCTGACGTAAAAACTAAGCGGGGCTGCCCGCTCCGGCTTTTTAAGGAGCGCGGCGGCGGCAGCGGGCGCGGAGAGCTCTGCCCTGCCCGGCCCGCCCTGCTCGTCGGAGCGCAGAGGTAAGGGGTGAGGGATGAAGGCTGCGGGCGGCGCCGCAGCCGGGCGGGACGGGACGGGACGGGACGGGACGGGACGGGAGCGGCGCTGGAGTGGCTGCACTGCCCGGCTCCTGGCGGGAGCGGCGCGGGGATCCCTGCGGGCGCTGCGCCGGGCGGGCACCCGCCCCTGGTGCGCCGGACCGGCTGCGGCAGCTCCAGGGTCGAGAAACTTAGTAACTGAGAGCTACACGTTAAATGGTGGTAACGAATGAACTGATTAACTTTTTAAATTATTATTGTACGGCATTATTCATGACGGGGAGTGGAATGGGAGAGGAAACTGCAAGGAGAAGCGGGAATGAGAGGAAAAAAGTCAGAGCCGGAAGGTGTGAATAGCGTGCACACACACACACAAACTTCAATTTACGGACAGAAAGACCTAAAGATTGGGTGTGTGTGGGGGGGGCAGAATTGCATGGAAGCATTCACCACAGGCACAAGTAAGAGATTAATGAAATCTGACATTTCCTGAGCCTGCCCTCAGTGCTCAACTGTTTAAAAAAAATAAAATCCCGAACCTTGTGGAAGGCTAACAGCACAGCACTGTCTAAGTTTGACCAGGCTATAAGGATTAGCAGCCTTAGCTACTGGCCCTGACTAATGGCATTCACATCACACCTTCGAGGGCACCCACCCTCATATTAATGCCCTACCAGCTCCCTACCCAGGGCTGTCCTTTTGTTCTGACAAATCCAGAACCCTTGTCTTACTCAGTTTTGTAACTTCAAAAGTTTCTGATAGGTGCTGGGGAGCAGAAAATGCAAAGCAACCTGTTCGATTGTTAACCTGTACAAACCAGATGGGCCCTGTCCAAGTCACAGAACCATCCTTTTAAGGATTATTATTATTTAGTATTATTAGCCCATTTTATTATTACTCCTTTGTCTGAACTCTTTGGTGTTGGGGCTCCCCCCACCACTGCTGTCTTGTATCTGTCTCCCCACCCACATGGTCATATCTGAGATTGCTAGGCTGCTTTGAAAACTAAAAGCTTGGTAAAAAAGTCAATTATGTCTCTTGAAAAAGTCTCAGTAAACAGATAGGTATGTGCATACTGCACAACATATACGTACAGGTGTCTGCTGCCCAGTGGAAGGGCTCTGATGCACAAACAACAATGAAATAGTGACTCACAGGATGTCCTTTGGTTTGCTTCTGAGAAAGCAATCAAAACCTGCCTTGTGCAGTAAGGTACAGAAGAATGATGCTACTGGAGATCTTAGGAGCAGCACGAGGACAGCCCCATTACTGTAATAAGTGACATCCCACCAGGCAGAGCAGGGTGGGAAGAGCAAGCTGGCCCTCTTTTATTCATTAAATGGAAGGTTCAGAGCCAAGGCTGTTAAGCCACTTCTCACGAAATCCCAACTCAGATTAAAGAGTGACTGTAAGCAGTTGGAGAGTAAAGTTTGAATACCTAAAAAATGTTCCCAGAACATGACCAGGTGGCCAGACAGGGGGCCAGGTAAGAATATCACTGCAAGGACTGAAGTCTCTGAAGAGTCTTCTAGCTCTACAATGAAATACGTTTCACAAAGCATCCTACTCTTCTCTAGTCTTGCACGCAGGCTTGTGTCTGAGCTACCTTTCATGTACAATCTCTCTGCATATCCATATCCTGCCTTTGGCATTCTCCTTCACACAGCAAAGGAACATTTCTTCTGCTCTTCATGATCACTCATGGAAGAGACTTTCTACACCAAAAAGCCAGCTGATTATCAAGTTAAGCTCATTAAGAAAGGTAGCTTACCCCCTGCCAACAATCAAACTGAAAATGTAAAAGCGTGAATACTCAGATGGTCAGCATATATGTTAAACAGAATTGTTTGTCCTAAACACAGATCTCAAATGTTGCTCATTTCCACAAATGGGAAGTTCTCCATATGCCATGAACAACACTAAAATCAATCCCCAAACTCATTACAATCTTAGAAATTCTAGAAGCATGTTTGAAAACTCAACATACAAGCACATACTAGAAATGAAAACTGACAGAGACAACTAGGCCTTTCTGTCCACAAAAAGTTATAATTCTCAGGATTTCTCTCAACCGTTATAGGTGCTACTTCTCAAATTTCAGAGTTTTAACAGACAATTGTTAGTGATCTGCAACAAGCATCTGTACTTTTTATATGTCAGCACAGGAAAGACAAGGACCTGTTAGAGCAAGTCCAGAGAAGGGCTACAAAAATGATTGAGGGCTGAAACTGCTCTCCTATGAGGAAAAGCTGAGAAAGTTGGGGTTGTTCAGCCTGAAAAAGAGCAGGCTCCAGGGAGACCTTATTGCAGCCTCCCAGTACTTAAAGGGGGCCCATACAAAAGCTGGGGACAGACTTTTTAGCAGGGCCTGTTGCAATAGGACAAGGGTTGGACTAGATGACATTTAAAGGTCCCTTCCAACCCAAACTGTTGTATGATTCCACGTGCATGTATACATGTTGTACAATACAGCTGCCATGCCATGGTTTTGCTATGCTCTCTTTTCAGAACTGTATTGCATTTTAGCAGGCAAAATACCACTGGTCAATGGATGAATTTGCAACTTGCATTAACTAGAACCATTAAAACACATTTTCAACAAAAGTTCCACCTGCTGCTCCACTGATGCTTGTGATTCTGAAGACTATTTTAAAGGTCTCATAAAATTTTGAGAAAACCAAGACTGCCTAAAGGCTTAAAATCTGTAAAAAGGAATGGATTTTTACTGAAAAAGTAGGGATCTGTAAATCAAGAAAGGTAAAAAACTTTCAACGTGAAGAAGTTCCAAATAAGAGTTCATCATACAGATTTGAAGATGATTAGCAAATTTTTACACGTGCTTCTGCTGCACACAGTATTGCAACTCCTCTAGTGTCTATATTCACATATGTAAAAAAGCATACACACGTCTTTAAGGAGCAGAGAAACAATTAACATTTGAGTGCCTTCTATATGATTCTGCATCTAAAAGCGAGAAAATTTTCAGCTTCTTTTGGTTTTCTTATATTTTAGTGACACAATGGACCTTGGGAGCAGAGGAAGAATCCACTGTAACATGAGACTCACCAGCTCTCTGCTAATCATGGCAGCATTCTGCATGACACCTTTCCTCTGCCATAGTCAAACTGATCCACTAGCTCTTGGGTGGGCAGACCCCCAATGTTGGGAATCCTCCTCAGCTGTCTTACTGGAGATGAGGAAGCCTCGCATTTCTGATTCTGTTAGTGGCTTTTGGGACTTCATGATTTTTCTGAAATCATCAGAGAACTTGAAACATGGGGCTTTGTTCTGGGACCTGGCTCAGCTCTTCTGGGATATCTATGTGGACTGTGTGCTCTCCAGAACCCATGGCCTAGGGAGAAGGCAGCTAGCAGAAGCTGAGCAGAAGATTGCTACTCTACATTCTCAGTTCACAGGGAGAAACCAAGGTCACTGCTCCTTTAATACAAGTCTCATGGGCAATAACTAGAGTTTAGTGGAAAAGAGATAGTCTTATTGTGTTATATGGTTATAGTCCAGAAACAGAGGACAGTGCTGCACAAACTCCTCCTAATCAAGTACAGAGCTACGTTTATGTTCAATGTGATCTCAGTAAAAATTTGACCTCCAAACAATCTGAACTCTAACAACAGCTTTTAAGTTTCAGTTTGATGGAGAAGGAGGGGCTCAGAAAGTGAAACATAGGAGGATTAGAACAAAGAAGGCAGCTCAGCAACTGAAAATACAAATATATTCTTCCACACCAGCGTTTTTACCACTATTGTGCTATGAATACAGGCTAGTTCCGAATTCCCCATTCTGAGAGGTGTGTCACCTCAGGAATGCAGGGCACTGGTGCTGTTGGGGAGCAGGGTAGTCTTTCAGCAGAAGAGGAAGGGTACATTTACTTGCTATCTAGCAATCAACCACTAGTTATTTTCCATTTCCATACTGGTAACTTTACCCAACACAGAGTGGAAACAGAACTAGGACTTAGATGCATGCAGGCTTTCAGGCACAGCTACAGCTTCAGGAAGACACCACTATGTGTAACGTTAAATGCTGCAATTCCTTATCTCCAGGTTCCCAGCCCCACAGCAGAACCCCCAGGCTTAAAGTGTTTCCATATGCACGTCACTTACCCTCCCCATTACCAGAAGGGAGATACAGCATAGCTTTTCCTAAATCTCAGTCCCTTCCAAGGCTTCAGTTCTGTTCCTGCTGCCAACAGATGTATCCTTCCCTTGAGCATATCCACTTCCAGATAAGGGCAGGTGCTATAATTTAATGGAGAGGTAGAATGGCCATTGGCATCACCAACAGCTGTAGTGCATTGGGCCTACAGTAAGAAGGTCTTTACACTTGAGCAGATTGAGACCCATATCTCCACTTTCTAGATCAGTATCGGAGTTATTAAGGTGTTTTGGGGGGAATGCCCATGGAATAATGAAGAACCTCTCTCGGCAATTACCTATTAGAGTATCTCTAAAAATGGACTTGAACTCAGGGTTCTTGCACCACAGGGACACTATACCACTGGACAGTCCAGCTCCGGCCCACAAACCTCAACTTTTTTTTGAGTATTGAAAGCTGGGATTTGAAACAGGAAGGATTGAGAGGTCCTTACCCCTGTTACCTAGAGACAGTGTCGTAGCCGTTAAGCTAGGATATAGGAATTGTGTTTGAATCAATCCCCTCAGACTGAAGAACACACACACAGGGTCAGTTTCTAAAATATGTGCCAAACAACCACTACCTGCATTTTAAAAGCAAGGAGTGTATCCTATCCTGCTCCACAAAGAATTTGAGCTATTGCATTGCTCTGACTGGATCTTAACTGTGTTGGAACTTCCAGTTTCCAATTGGCCTTAGACATGACAAAGGCAACAAGTTGCTCAGTCCTTACCAGACTGATGCAGTTTTGGGTGCAAAGAGAATGCAGCTTTAGACACATGAGGCAGTAGTATTGTTAAAAACTTAGATGCCCATCAGGTGAAAGCACCAGATTAATGTTTGTTTTCAGGACTGCAGCTTTGAATATCTCTGTCTAAACTCCTACCTAGCCTTTTGTTTACATCTGGCTCTTCATATCTATATCACATCGTGATTTTCCTAAACAAAGAGCTTTTGTTCCTAGTCAAGATTAAGCGTAACAGTCTGATGTACTTTGCAGAATCAAATTACGGGTTTTGTGATAAATACTGACTTTGTTTACACTTACACAGAGATTTTAAGCACTACTAAGTATTCATACTTTAAGAAAAACAAGGACTCCTTCCTTTCCCTCTTTGTTTTGTGAATTGTAATCAGTTAATCTGATTTTTCTGTACAACTGATTAACATCAGGCTACAGCAGTGACAGCCTAAATTTTATTTTTTGGAGGAGCTATCTAACTTCTTATCCAAGTCTCACAGTTTCTTAACAAAGCCAGCTGTTTTAATCTTTGTAACCCTTGATCCTACTGCCTTATTTCATCAGTGAAAGCAGAAATCAATTGGTAATAACTGCAGACAGAAATCACATCCTAGCAAGTGATGAGGAATGAGACAAGTAGGGAGAGTCTTCCACAGTTACCTGGCCAAGGTATTTTCAGTAACTCATCTTTCCCCTAACAAAATCCAAACACTGTGAAAAAGCAGGCTTCATAAAAGCATTTCCAAAATATTACAACACTGTAGTTACATGATATTTGTAACAACTCTCCATGAACCAAAATAATACTTTAGAACCATAAGGCAAATATAGCTTTTGTACTCACAACAAATCTTCCTGAAGAGCAGCTAAAAAAATCCCCAATACAAACACTTGAAGACTGCAGCCACAAAAGTCTCTCCACCCTTTTTCTCCTTGCCCAGCAGTCCCTCTGCCACTCTGCCACAGCTGTGCACACCTCCCTCACAGGTACAGCTAATTAGGCTCAGAACAGTCCTTGCACTTGGCCCAAGACACGTAATTTGCTGTCCCAACGTTGCAGGGTGTCAGGGAGGGTAGTGGGTTGATGCTACTACACATTTGAGGTCTGGTAAATAAGCAGTATTAGTCAGTTATTTTTTCAGAAGGCAAATATGTCTAAAAGAAAGAAAACCAATCTGCTGGCTTTTAGAGATCATTGTAAAGAAAATGCCCCATAGTTCCTCAAGCAAATAACAAATCTGCAATTAAACAGTGTGAGAGATCTCATGCACTGTGTAGGGAGGTTGATAACAAGCTGGCGAGTCAGTAGGATTATGAGCAGACTTAAGTGCTGCTAATTACAAGTAGAAGAGTTTTATAGGAAGATTGAAGAAAAAGGTCCATATGGGGGAAAAAGATCAAAGTGACCTGACATTGACAGGCAACTCTTGCAAGTGGAGGTTTATGGATATCACCAAAGCAAGAGGTTTGGGGGCAATGCTGATAAAATGGGGACCAGCAGCAGCTAAAAGCAGAAGAAACAGATGTGGGAAACTGAGTATTCAGCTGCTCTTTGCTGTTTGGAAATCATTTATTTATATGCATTTTCATGTCACTTTTCAGGGATATTTTCTCATATTCAGAGGTCGCCAATTCTGAAGAAGAGAGACTCATTTGAAGATTTAATAAGTATCCACATGCATAAGAGCAGACCTACATTACTTCGAAGAGTCATTGGAGAGCTAGGAAAAAAGAGGAAATCACATTTTTAGTTCAAGATCTTGACTTGTAGATATTTTTTAATTACTTCTCTTTATTTTTTGCATTCTAATCCTCACTGATGTCAATTTACATGTAGAAAAAGGCCTATAAGCATGGACACCATATCTCTGATTAACTTGGACTTATGGTTTTTTAAATTATCTATTAATTTCATCTCCTTAATAAACTGCATGATTTATAAGCAGTTGCCTACTTTAACCTGTGTGTATCTCAGTAATACATGTGACCCATTCACACATGGCATGATTTTGGGTGCCAAAACAGGAAATAACTGATCCTTCAACAAAACACAGACAAGCAGAGAAGGAAATTATCAAAAACCCTCCACTGGTTCCAAGACTGGATTAGAGTCAAGATGGTGATTTTGATTGTATGTGTAGCTGTACACTTGTACAAAGCAATCACTGGTCAAAGGCATCATCCTACTAAAAGAAAAACAGTATATATTTTTACATGAAAAATACCTTCCAAAAATGTTTTAAGTTTTCCAGCAAAAGTAAAAGGGTTAACAGATTTTACCAGCTCCTCTGCTTTCACATTATATTTTTATGATATTTTCCCTAAGTTCTTAGTTATTAAAAACACTACTTAAAATGTTACACATTCTCATTTAAAGTGTTTAATACAAGGAACTCATGTATAACTTACAATTGCTTCTGTTTTCATTTGCAAGCTCTTTGTAGAAAAATCAGTTTCCTCTGTTATTTATAACTCTAACAGGCAATTTGATATTAAACTAATGTAACATAACTTAGGGCAGGTAATATTTCATGCTTTTATGAGATAAAATATTTCCTTTGTCTGACTGGCTGGATGCAACTACAAATTTCAGCTTTCCAGGGCAATTATATTTAATTGCTCATTCAAAGTTTCTTTCCTTGAGCGTGTAGCAATATTTCATTGCTCTTTTTTCTTTTTTTTTTTTCCTCCAAATGCCCACAGAAAAACTGGTTTGCTGATTGTTCACCAACTTGGAGAAATAGGTTCAAGTAACAAAATGTGTAAAGAAAATCTTAAAATGGTTACTGGGCCTGAACAAAGTAAAGGTTAAACACAGTCCCACTTGGTGAAATCGTGATCTTAAGGAAGCAGACAAAGAACTGTAAGAGGACTATCAGTGTCAATGGCACTGGATTTGTGCTTCAAGTTACCCATGCAACAAACTGTTTAAAGTGTTCAAGAGAAGAGGGAACACTAAAGCAGGATAAGCACAGGAACACAGAGTTTAGTGTGCTCGGAAACACCCCCCCAACTGCAGCCACAGCCTATGAGTGTGCTCTGCTACCGTGTGGGAGGGTGGCAAGACCATTGTTACAACAGGTCCTCTCTCTCCTGTTCCTATGTTATTAATTAACTAAATTAGATTAATATATCTAAAAGCCCCATTGTATGCAACTTTGTATCAACATAAGAGACATGTCTTCAACCACAGTCCCTACAGCTATTAAGTCCAGCAACTGACAAAGAGCGTGTTAAGAGCTGGATGCCTCAGCCAGTACTACAATACAACTGGTATTGTAGTAGAACAGATGTTACCTGTTCCCATATGCACTTCAGCTCTAGAAAATATAAAATCAGACAGATTACCCGAACAGGTACTGTTTATCTTAGCTGCTTTTCCACGGGGTCCTTTGGGAAAAGGCTGGTGCTTCCACTTTAGATATATCCCAGCTGCAACAACAGGATCCCTTAGGAAATGGCTCATGGCAGCTTTCTTCTTCCCTTCAGATAGGAACAGAAATGGTGAAATACCACTATGGGCCAAGCTGATATTTAGCTTAAACAAATTTTCAATTCTTCTCTGCTTCAGCAAGCTTCTTAATTAATAGTCTGTAGCAAAATTTGGCCTTCGAGGAAAGGATGTGGAGTCAAGACCGAGAAAACAGATGAATCTCTAATATAGGTCACACTATGGAGAACATTTGGTAATTGCTGATGTAAAGGACACAATCTGGGTAATTAATTGTGCTGAAATAAAAAAGGAGATGCAATTCATTACACGTAAACCTGCAAGTGATAAAGTGCAAACAACAAAAGGTTGTCTATGTCGAGAAAAAGTAAGGACTCCGAGTATGAGGTGAAAGCAGATCTGCTATACAGGAAGAATTCAAAATGTTACTGTGTTTAAAGACAGGACATTGCCTCCTACCACTCTTCCTTATAAAGGTCATGGCAAATCTTTGAGTGAGTTAGGACTGTTTTTGCAGATACTGCACCTGGCTTACTGTTTCCCAGTCTGAGTCTGTCAGAAGGATGGGATGAACATGTCTGACAGAAGTTGATTCCTTGTCAGCTGAACTGAGTAACAGCAAAAGAAAGACCTTATGATTTTGTCCCTTTCATCTTGTAGGTATTTGGGAGCTAAACAACTGCTTCTTAGCATGGGAAAACACTTCTTTCAGTCTTTACACACTGCCATGAAGTAAGAGTTCATGGTAGTTCGGGAATATCTATTTGTAAGAATTTGGGCTCCAGATATGTTCAGTGTTGCATCAGACCAAACCAGTATTTGTCAGTTGTCACTGTTTCCAACCATTTTTAATTCAGATGCACACACTGGACGGAGATTTAAAGCCTCGTCGGAAACTGATGGATATCTTCCCATAATCAACAACTAGGTTCCTTGGATTGTTGTTTGCCTCTTGGCACTGGCATCTTGCAAAAGCTATTAAGCTTCTATCTCACACTGTATTGTTTATGTGCTAGTATGGCTGTATCCACTTACTAGTGACCTCATCACTATTTGTTTTCTGGGGCCCTTCCTCAATAAGTTTCTTTTCACCATCTTCATACCTCCTTTACTAGAGACAAACTACTTAGTTTCCAGTAGCTAACCATTGCTGTAAATTCTTAAGTGTTTGCAGTGTGTGTGTAATTCAGGCGTTCTGTGACCAAAACTAGCAGAAAGAACCAGGAATGTTCATTAATGTCACCACACTGTAAGGTCTTTCAAGAAGAAGGCTGAGGTGCTACCAACAGAAAATAAGACTTCTAGTCATTTTAATGAGTCAGACAGTCCATTTATTACCCCTAAGTAGATCAAGGGAAGCCAGTTGATGTAAGCTTTTTGGATTTCAGTAAAGCTTTTGATACTGTCTCTCACAGTATTCTTCTGGACAAAATGTCCAGCACACAGCTGGATAAACACATCGTGTGGTGGGTGAGCAATTGGCTCATGGGTCAAGCACAGAGGGTGATAGTGAACAGGGGGAACATCAGAGTGGTGACCTGTCACTAGTGGAGTTCCACAGGGCTCCATCTTAGGCCCTATGCTCTTCAACATCTTCATAAATGATTGGACACAGGATTGGAAGGGATACTAAGCAAGTCTACAGGTGATACAAAACTGGGAGGAGCTGTTGACTCCCTCGATGGCAGGGAGACCCTGCAGAGAGACCTTGACAAATTAGAGGGCTGGGCAATCACCAACCATCAACAAGGGGAAGTGCCAGATTTTGCACCTGGGATGGGGCAACCCTGTATGTACAGACCGACTGGGGAATGAGAGGCTGGAAAGCAGAGCTGTGGAAAGGGACCTGGGGGTCCTGGTCGATGACAAGTCGAATATGGGCTAGCAGTGCCCTGGCAGCCAGGAGGGCCAACCGTGTCCTGGGGGGCATCAGGCAAAGCATCACCAGCCAGTCAAGGGAGGGGATTGTCCTGCTCTGCTCTGCACTGGGGCAGCCTCACCTTGAATATTGTGGCAGTTTTGGGCACCACAATATAGGAAAGATATTAAGTTGTTAGAGAGTGTCCAAAGGAGGGCAATGAAGATGGGGAAGGGCCTTGAGGCGAAGCCAATGAGGAGAGGCTGAGGTCACTGGGTCTGTTCAGCCTGGAGGAGACCGAGGGAAGACCTCATTGCAGTTACAACTTCCTCGTGAGGGGAAGAGGAGGGGCAGGCACTGATCTCTTCTCTGTGGTGACCCGTGACAGAACCCAAGGGAATGGCCTGAAGTTGTGTCAGGGGAGGTTTAGGTTGGATATTAGATAAAGGTTCTTCCCCCAGAGGGCAGCTGGACACTGGAACAGGCTCCCCAGGAAGCGGTCACAGCATCAAACCTGACAGTTTCAGAAGCGTTTGGATGATACTGTCAGGCACATGGTGTGACTCTTGTGGATGGTCCTTTGCAGGGCTAGGGGCTGGACTCTATGACCCTTTTGGGTCCCTTCAACACAGCATATTCTGTGATTCTGTGATTTATCTTAATTACAATTCATTCTGAAAAATACAAGACAAGGAAAATCTATGTGGAAAATTAAGAGTTCTGCTGAGCAGCTTTTTTTAAGCACTACACTTTTCATTAGTCTTTTCAATCACATCAACCTAAACTCTGTTTTATTACACATGAAGCAAAGCTTCAGAATATATAATTTACCTCACTTTTCTCCCAAAGCTTTCAAAAATATTTTGCTTTTACCCAAGCCAAATTTATTTTCTCAGTAATCACAGAAAAAATTCTGTAATAACTAGGAGTATTTTCTCTCTTGCAAAGCTGTACACTTTCAGTGACATCCTTAAAATCCTTGAAATTATGCACATTTTCTTGAACCATAACTGGTTTTGAGCACACATGAACGTACTCATTCACTATTTTTTATGCACCTCCTGCAGAACTGTGATAGTAAGTAACTGAATCTATATTTTTCTCTCTGAAGTGGTACTGCATAATTTTCATTTCTCAGATCTTTAAAATACTTCTGTGCATTACAAGAAAAAAGAAAGTTTTCCTTGTTGCTGGCACCAACAAGAAATACTTGAGTTACTTACAAAGAAGTAACTCGACCATGGGATATCAGCTAAAGAGAGAGAAATGGGCAATCATTTGCACTGCTGAGGAATCCACTGCATAGGAGCTGGAAATGACAGAAAAGGAATATTGTTCTCTAATATGTTCCTGGTGAAGTCATTCAGAAATGCAGAAATCTGTTTGCTGTGTTATTACAGTGCAACACCTGAGACTCTTTAAAGAGTTTGACATGGCATCAATTACCTTAAGTAGTTCAGTGAAGCTGTAAGGTGAATGGTGGTTTCCATCATTCAAAAGCTGGTGAAATTATTTGGTTGATGAGGTCAGAAAAGGACCTGCAAACATGCTCAGCTGTAGAGAACAGCTCCTGCTGCAAAGTAGTCTGTTGGGCTGAAAAGTAGAACAGATTTTAAGTCTTTCTAAACTTTTG